CACAACACAGGACCCGTCTGCCATAATGCCCAAGTTCTGCTGGCCCTTCTCTCTCTCTCTTTTCTCGTGCCACAGGGCCCAGCCCTCTTTACCCACCCCAGATGACCATCCCAGCCTCCTCACTGCCCTCTGACCTGTGTGTTTGCCCTTCAGGCGATTACTTCCACTTGGCAACTAGGGCATCTTCACAATGACTATGAGACTCTGTCAGCCCTGTGCTTGAAGTCCTTTAGGGGGTGCTCTTACCTGTAAAGTTCTCCCCGCCAGCCACCTAGCCCCATGGAAGGGCAGGATAGCTTTTCCTTTGCCTGCAGTCCTTAGGCCAGAGAAGAAGGTATGGGCACTGAGAGGGTATGGAGACCACTCTCCCCACAGCTTCAGGGTAGATAAGGCCCCTAGGGTGTGCCATTGAGAAGCGGGTTGGCTGGCTGGGCAAATGGGGATTCTAGCAAGGACTAGAACCTCATCTGCTCAGCCAAAGACAATGGAGCTGAGGCCTCCAAGAGTTGCTAAGGATGGTCTTTAATGGCCTTGCCTGGGAAGGGATGATTTCACTCAGGATGCACCCCAGTGAGAGGAGGCCAGAGTCAGAGGCAGGCAGCTCCTCAGTTGCAAATGAGACCTGCTCAGGCTTGTCCAGTCTGAGAAGTAAGGAGGCTGTGTGTATTTGTGTGGGCCTGCGGCGGGGTGGGGGAAGCTTCTAGGTTGATGGAGGGGACAGAGCCTAGTGAAAAGACCCAGGACAGCAGGTGGGAGCCCAGCTCTGCCCTGACTCATTCTAGGACACCCCTCTGCAAACCTCACTCTGCCTATCTGCACAGGGCTGGGGAAACAGGATGATTTTAAGCCTTCCCAGGGCTCTCAGGTCTGTTGGGTCTCAGGAGTGAGATGGGACCAATCCTAGGAGGCCTCTGGGAGGAAGTAAGAGTGCTGTGTTCTGGTGAGGCCCAGAATGATCAGTGGAAAGACAGGACCTGAGCAACCCCTAACCTGCTAGGCACTCAGAGGTTAATACGCTGCCTCCAGAGAAGCCTGGCTCCCACATCAGGCCCTCTGGCTTCTGCTGAGGGTTTGGATGTAGGTGTTGGTATCCCAGACACATCCATACTGATGCAGAGGGTGGCCCAAGGCAGACATAGCATCAGGCACAGGCCTGAGTGCGCCATGCAGTGGCAGCAGCAAGGAGGGGCAGGTTCCAGCAGAGGCTTGCTGCTGCTCCCACCCTGTTCCATTCACCAGGCATGAGTGCTCTCTGGGAGGGACCTCTGGGGGTAGCAGGCAGAGCAGGCCCCTCTCCTGAGGGATGCCTCCCCTTCCCCAGGACCACCCAGGGAAATATTCCTCTCTTTTGTGATCTCCTTGTCAGGCGCCCTTTAAGGTCACCAAGGCTACCAAGTTCTTCCTCATGTCCAGCCTTACTCAAACTTGATGTTGCACCTGACTCATTTATCAGAGGACAGTGAAGGGCCCCATTATCCTGCCACCCAGCGTGACATCACTGAGCTTTCCCTCAGGCATGTTCCCACTCCTGGGGCCACCCAGCCTGCACGGGAAATGGCTGCTGGATGAATGTGCAAGTGAGTAAGTGTCTTGAATCCTCTTCCCATGAGAACACTAAGTGGCTAAGCAGCAGATGAGGGGTCCCTGGGGCCTGGGCTGAGATAGAGACAGAAACAGGGTCCCAGGAGGCAAAGAGAGGGCCAAGAGAAAAGCAACAGAATTCGAGCCACAGAGACAAAGCAGATGTAGCCCCAAAGAGCCAGGCGTCAAGGAGCTCAGGGGATGCTAGCACCAAAAGCCCCAGCCAAAGATGGCCCAAAGAAAGACGGCATGGCAGAAACAGGGCAGACTAAGAGGAGCTCAGGGTGAGGGTTCACGAGGTAGGAGCCTGAAACTCAGGGGTAGGGGATAGTAGTCCAGAATAAGCATGGCTTAGCCTAAAGTCACAGAGCAAGAATCCAGGGCCCCAGCCACTCAGCCATGACCTGGTCCTCTGTCCCCTGGCAAGGAACCTTAGCCAGACACAGATAAGGAGACTGCAGGTCAGAGAGACCCCCTGGCCTAAGATGGCACTGGAGTGAGTTGTGGCATTGGCCCTCTTTATGCACTCCCAAGCTTCCTGGTCCTCGGTTTGAGTCGGCTCAGGAGTTGACTGCTGCTCCCACCCCCACCCTGTCCTGTGCTTGGGCACGCTGGCACTGCCAGGCACTTACTCGGCCTGTCAAAGGCCCAGCCCCCAGCCTAGCACCCTTGGGCTTCCCTAGCCCTGGGTAAGGGCAGCAAGAGGGAACAAAGGCCCAGTCTCTGCTTGTTCAGGCCTCCACCCCTTTGCCTGCCCCTGGCACAAAAGGACCAGGGTCCTAAGGGCGCCCAAGAGCAAACGCAGCACCCATCCCTTTGCCAATGCTTTGAGAAGCCCCACCCCCCAACCCCACACAGGCCTGCTGGCTGAACAGCAATGTTCTTCCATTCTAAAGATGGAGTGTTGAGTGGGAGAGCTGTGGGGCTGGCAGTCACACAGCTGGGACTCAAACCTCAGTCCCATGGTTGTTGGGAGACCTGCCTTCTACCCCTCATCACAGGCTGAGCAGTGGTCTTAACTGTTCTGGTCCAATATAACTGAAGTGCAGAGATGGGTGAGGGACAGAGAAGATAGAGCCTAGGTAACCAACCCAACAGAGCAGTCCCCAAGGAAGGAAATAAGTTGCCCTTCCCCTTCTGACCCTGCCCACCAAACTGCCACCTGGGTCTGGTTCAGTGTTGATTATGAAGTCTGCTGAAGGGATAGAGCCAGGTGAGCAGCAGAAATGGGGAAACTGAGTCAGTGCCCAGGCTCCCTAAGTCCTTGACTGAGGCTTGCCTGATCCAGCCAGAGGTGAGGGAGACATAAGCCACTCCAGAGCCTCCATTTCTCTATCTGTAACATGGGGCTATGTCACACACTGGAAGCTTCACTTCCCCCAGCCATGGTCACCATCCTTCTTCAGACCCCTTCCCTGCTCTCACCTATATCCTCACTTAGACCACTCCTAACCCACCCTGGCCAGGAACTTGGATGCAGGGTGGATGTTCTGCTCTGCACAAGCATGAGCATGGCCGATTCTTCACTATAAGCCCAGACTCAGGCTAGGAAATGAACGTAACATGCTCATCATGCCACAAACATGAAAAGCATTCAGTATCTGGGTGCAAATAGCCTCAGAGATCTTTTACAGAGATCTTTTACAGAGATGGATACTGAGGCTTAGGGGGACTAAAGGACCTGTCCAAGGCCAACCAGCAGCTAAGTAAGTCAGGGCTAACTGCTCACGGTCCAGGATTATCCCACTGGCATCCCAGGAACCGAAGGGGCAGAGTTCAGTGCAGATCACCCTCTCCCACCCATGACAGCAGCAAAAGAAAGGATAAGAGCTGTGGGGCTGCACAGGGCCAAGAGGCCATCTGAGCAGTGCCAAAGTAGATGGCTTCAGGCAATCCTGGGTGAGTAGGGGCTCAATTGTGTGAACTTTTTCTCATAACCACTCCAAGCCTGACCTCAGCAGAAGCCCATAAAGCCTTGATGCTCCTCCTGCTTGCTAGTGCCTTAGGGCTGGAGGAACATCACCCACCCCAGCTTCATTTAGAAGTCCTGGCTGCTCCCTCCCTTGACTGATCTAAGCAGGTGCCTGGCAGAGGCAGGGCAGGACCAGGCCAATGCCTCACACAGAGCAGGCCAATAGTGGCCCTTCCTCACCTTCAGACCCCAAGCAAGCCCAAGACATATCAACTCATTTTAAAGAAAAAATAATATTTATTTGCAATATAAACAAAGTCCCGTTGCTGGTTCGGGATATATATATACGTATGTGTGTATATATACGTAGGGTCACAAATTTTCCTTCATAAGATCATAAAGCAAAACTGGCCACCCTCTAGCATACCCTCATTTACACAAATCTGATGCTTCTGAGCTTTTCTTTTTAAAAATAAGAGAGAGAAAGAATCATGTATAGCATGGAAGCTTTTTGTCAATTTCTCAACTGTGGCAAGATTTTAATCTGCTGCCCACAAGAATCCCTGAAAGCCACCCCTGTGAGGTAAGATGCAGTGGGGCAGAGTTTCTGTGGCCTCACTCACATGCTGAGTGCTGCTCCATCAGGGACCCTGGCCTGACCACTTACCCCTCCCTGGGTCCCCATGCAGTCCTGACACCTGGTAGAACCGAGGTTAGAGAAGAAACAAAACTGGAGGATAACGGAATCCGTGGCTTTGTTCTGTGGACGGGGAGGGGGGGTAGACAGAGCAGCAGACCCCTTCCACTTGTCCATCCTCGCCCCCCTGCCCCTGCCCTAGGGTTGAAATGGATGCAAGTCTCCTGGCAGTAGAAGGCATTGGCAAAATGAGAGCAGGGCAGGCTTCAATGGGGACAAGGGGGCTGGGAGGGGCAGCTGGACCAAAGCAACAGCCAGAGTCAGGGAAGAATGTGGTGGCAGGGTTGGCCCCCCACCACCTAAGCTCTCCCCAGCCACTGGGCCTCCACTCCCAGTTACAGAGAGAGACAGAGTAGTGGGTAAATATATAAAAGGGCCCAGGGCCTATGCCCTCCTAGGAGCTGAGCCCAGAGGCTTAATGCTACTGCTTAGTAGTTCCCTGCTGCCCATCTCTGGAAGGATGTGGCAGAGCCCCAGACCCCTCACCTTCTGCCTCAGGGAGGTCTGTAGGGACCCCCAGAGGGGAAAATGGAAGGACTGAGATTGCCAAGACCACACATCCAGCCCACCAATCACAACTTGCAGCAGTTCTCACTGCCAAGTGCAGTGCCAAGCTGGACTGGGCCAAGGGTGAGAGATGGCATGACTGGGGGACCCAACACCTGGAGAGCAGCAAGCCACCCCTTCAAGAAGGGCCCACCGAAGAAACGGAGGCTTCACACATGTGCAAAACGCTTTTGGTCAAGATCAACATGGCGTTTGTCTTTTCTATAAAAAACAAAAACAAACAATTGTTTTTCTGTAGACCGAAAAACAAAACTGAGAACGCTTCTCTCTCTCTGTAGTATCAAGAAAGGGATAAAATACTGGTTTATACAATCCACTGTTGCATGTGGCCTGAAAAATAACACTTTTTGTTAAAAAAAAAAAAAAGAAAAATCAAGAAGAGCTTGAATACTCTTTGTGCTCCAGGGAGCTTGGATTTACCTGCCAAAAGTAAAAAGTAAACTCAAGTCCATGGATATGTATGTCTTTAAAAAGTAGCCAAACTGGCTGGGCCATCAGCAGAAAGGAGTGTCCTAGGAAAGGATGAGGCCCTGTCAGACCCCCAAAGCCACATGTCTGAGAGCTGAGGCCTCTCCAGCAACCTTTGCAGAGGGAGGCCTTGACTGCGGGCCCTGCTCCCACAGGATGGTAAGGGCATTCAGCCATTGGTTAGCCTGGGCCTCTGGGCACAGGCGACATCTGTGATTTCCTCAGGCCAGAGGCAGCAGGCTTGGGCCCTCCCACATGGCCCTGTGGAGGGCTGAGCAGGGGCCTGGTGCCATGCCCAGCAGTATGCCAGGCCTCACGTGGACTCGAGCGTATTGAGTGGGAACAGGTTGTGGTTGGTGGGTGTGGAGAAGTAGAGCTGCTCACTGGGCGCATGGTTGTCGCATGGGCTGCTTAGCCCCAGCGTCCGCTCAAAGTCCAGCAGCTGCCCCATGAAGTTGAAGTTGGGCGAGATGTTGGATTTTTTCCTCTTGACGAAGTCATAAGCATCATTGAGTGACAGGTTCATCTTCTGCATCAGGTAGGCCACAGTGACTGTCACCGAACGGCTAATACCTGCCAGGCAGTGCACCAGGACACCACACTTCTTGGAGCGGGCCTCATCTGAAACACACAGGCATGGGTCAGGGAGGTGCTTCCTCCCAGGAGCCTTCCCACAAGGTGGGCAGAGGGGCCACAGCAGGTGAGGCTGAGGCACAGAGGGCAGAATGGTTGCTGGCTGGTATCACCTGACTCTTGAGGGACCTAGTCAAGCCCAGCATGGGTGGGGCAGCGACCTGGGGTAGAGGTCAAGAGCAGGACTGTGGAGAGAGCTCTGCCACGCTTCAGCTCCAAGTCATTGGACAATCTGTGCCTCATCTATAAAATAGTTTCCTCATCTGTAAAATGGGCCTATTTATTCACAGTGCTCTCCTAAGGACCTGAGTCAAGTGAGGGTTAAACAAACACGAGCTACTGTACCAATTGTGATCACTGCTAGTTCTACTGCTGCCACAATGGTAAGTTAGCACTGGTGCTAAGTTAGGGTGGTGAAACCTGCATCCTCTTGGGTCAGCTGAACTATGGCCAGTAAGCCCATTTTATCAATGGGGAAACAGATACAAAGACAAAGTGACAAGCCCAAGGCCACATCGAGGTTCCTAACTCAGCATTGCTGCTGGCAGGCTGTGACCTAGGGGTGGGGGCTGGGCTTGTTCTCTTGGTACAGCTCCCATGGGTATGCTGGAGAGTCTCCTGGGAAACAGTCCTAAGGGAATCCCCTCCAGAAGGAAGTGGGTGGACTGGCCTTGCACTTGGCTCTGCCCTGTGCTCAGCCAGTCCTCAGGGCCTTAACTTGAGCTCCCAAAGACCTAGAGACTAGGTCAACAACCATACCTGAGGTTTCATGAGTAGGGTTTGCTCAAGTGGGGCCTACCCCTTCCACTTGTTTGACCTTCCTCAGCAGGCTTTGTACCAGTGACATCTCCTACCACAGCCAACTGCGTGCATTTGGTCAACCCCCAAGCTCTCCCTGTGCTGTAACTCAGACCCCTCTGCCTGATATATAGTAGGAGCCAGTAAATACTGGTTGGGCTACTGAACAACTCAATCCTAAAATCTCTCCTCTCTGCACCCTAGGGCAGTTGCCTGTGAGCCAGGGCTGTGCCAGCGACATAGATTAACAAGAGGCAGCCCTGGGGTTCTCAAGGTTCCTAATCCCTACCTCTGAACCGACTAGAAGCCAAGTATAGACAGCACTTAACCAATACTTTCCTATGAGATGTCACACGGGTTCACAAATTGTTCTTTACTGCTGCCTTTGGTCCCACAGAGCTTCCCCTTTGCATCCTCATTCACTCACCTGAGAGTACCCAAGGCTAAGCATATCGTAGGTGCTTAATCCAGACTCAGGGGGCTGTCAGGGCAGCCCCATGGCTAAGACACTGAGGCAGGACCTAGTAATGGAGCCATGTGGTCTAACCTTGGGCTTTGGGGTTAGTAAAAAGGGGTGGTAAGGACAAGCCTCCAGTGGTCACATGAGGATGTGAGGAATTCTTGGCCCCCAAACCCACTCCCAGTGATATTGAATGGAACTGTTTCCTCTGGCTTTGAGCCCTTTCAGAGCATGGCTGGGGCTTGATCCTGTCCCACTGACCCCATGTAATGCTTGGGTCTTAATTCCTGCACTTGTCATCTTGTTCCATACCCTCACCCTGATGTGCAGATGTGGAGGGGCCTTCAAGAAAAATAAAAGTATCCACAAACCAGACTTGCCCTGGGGAATCTAGGTTCCCCCTCTCAACTCCCCTTCCCTTGTTTGGGGGAGCTCAAATGCTGAGGTAGCACTTATAGCCCTCTTGGCCACATCCCTGTGGGGCACAGCTGGACGCTCCAGGCAGCCCCAGTTGCCACCCCTCCCCTAGGCCTCAGCTTCCTTCCTTCCTCCCAGCCAGCCACCTACTTTTGGTTCCCAGTAAGCGGATGAGGCGGGGAAGCCTCCCACTTCCTGTTATTAAGGCCAGCCCAGCCTAGCTGACACCAAAACGCCCTCCACTGGACACAGTCACTATTGGGAGTAGACTCCCCAGGCTACCCCCACCCTGCCAGAGAAGGCTGGTTAAAAACACTGGGTCACCAGGCTTAGGAATTCAGGGTTTACATTTATTTGGTGCCTGTGTCCCATCCCCTTCCTTGGGCCAGGGGAGATGATCTGCAGTTTAGCAGTCCAGCTAGCTAAGGAGGAACCTGGGTGGGGAGACCAAGTCAGCTGAGTCTGGGGACATAAGAGACTCAGAGGGCTCTAAACAAGACAGCAGGACACACTGGTGTGGGAGCCCTTACTTAGCCCCCCTACCTTCTCTGTATACCCCTTATACTCCAAGCCAGCTCCATAGGCTGCCAAGAGAATGTGGGACCTCACTAAGCACTCTGGGTCTCACATTCCAATAGTTGCCTGGTTAGGTCTTTGGCTTCAGCTCTCTCAGGTACAGAGTAAAACCCAAAGAGGCACTGTGACAACCCCATCCTGGAGAGACATGTGTGCCAAGGCGTGATACAGAGCAAGCGAGATCCGTGGGAGGTCTGTGTGCTGTGATGTTTCAGTTTTCTAAGCACAAAACAACAGAAAAGCCAGAAAAATACAAGCTAGACAGCAGAAAACCCATGAGGGGATGACAGCTGGGGGGAGCCCAAGACTCAGGGGACTGCTCAAGTCCTGACAGGCAGAGGGGCCTGAGGGACTCAGTGACTCACAGCAGGCATAGGTACACCCACTGGCACAAGCTGGCACATGCAGGGCACACACAGGTCTCAACAGGCACCAAAGTACCCAGTTGGGTGCGGGTGACACCCTGAGTCCTACACACACCTTAACGCACCCACCCACTCCATCCAGCATACAGCAACACCTACCAATGAAGCTGATGGCCTCAGGGAAGAACTGGGAGAGGTTCTGGCTCCAGTGGTCAGAGATGGGGATCTGCTTGTAGGTGAACTCGCCACCATGCTCGAAGGCATTGGGTAAGTTGGGTGTGACATTGAGGATATACTTGATGCCGTACTTGCCAAGCACGTCCAGGTTGGTGGAGTCCTTGGCGCAGCCGAGGTAGAGGTAGGGCAGGATCTGGACAGGGAAGGCTGGTTGGCTAGATGGCACAGGGCTGCCATCCGACTCAGTGGCACTGCTAGGCAGCTCTCGGTCTGACTCGCCGTCCGAGCAGTCAGAGCTGATGCGTAGGCCCCCCAGGCCCAACACAGAGGTGGGTGGCGAGCTACTGGGTGAGGACGAGCTGTCCACGTTGGTCTCGCAGTGCTCTGAGTACTCTGTTTGGAACTTGTTGAAACCACCTGTGGCCAAGGTGAGATGGGGCCTGAGTAAGAGGCTGGTGAGAGCCCAAATAGGCCACACAAGATCCATGATGGCCAAGACTCCCCAAGTCATACCCCACAACACTGATGGTCAGCATGGGCCATGCTAAGGGTGTGATATGTGTATCCGCTCATGTGTTCTCTCCATCTAAACTATGGCCATTTCATAGAAGAGGAAACAGGCCTCAGAAGGTAAAGTAACATGTCTAAGCGCTGAACCCTTACCCATAACACATGAGGGCCGTCAACCATACCATTAGCTTTAGGCCACTTGAGGACAGGCCCAGATCATTCCTCTGCAGTTCCCATGCACTCACAGGTGCTCAGTAACAGCTAAGTGGTAAAGGAAAGCAGACAAGCACATCTCTGACCAGCAACTGGGGGTCTGCAAACCTCCCTTACAGATGACACCACAGAACCACATCTCGGTCGGTTAGAGGCAGAGAGAGAACCTGGGCTCCCTGACTGGAAGTCTAGTGGTAGCCCAGCTCCCCAACCACAGCTGGGGAAGGCAGTGTGAAGATAGTGGCTGGGCCTTTCTCCCAGCGGGAGCAGGTTCATGAAAGAGGTCCCAGCTCCACTTCTCCAGAGCCCTCCCTTAGAATGCAAGGCACCCAGCCCTGGACCTGCAGAGGGGGAGGGCCACCAGGGCTATACAGGAATGGGAGAGATGGAGAGCGCCTTGCAGCTAGGCATGGGCCCTGCGCCCGAGGGTGCCGCAGGCCTCCCCTCTCCTCCCGCCCCGCTGCCAGCGAGAGGCCATTTTGGAATGTTAATTGGAAACACCGGCCACAGCCACTTGCACCCCCCCCCCCATCCAGCGCTGCCTCCCCCTTCTGCAAGCTATGGAGCGACATGCTGGGGACTTGAGGGCCCCAGGAGACCTGGATCAGGGAAGGCAATGGACACTACTTCTGCCACTGACTCAAGCACCTCCAACAGCCAGCAACCCTTAGGTGGTAGGGGCCATACTGAGATCCCCAACCCAAACGGTCCCCAAGCACCGGAGATAGAGATGGGGATAAAAGATGCCCTTCCTGACCCTGGCATTCCAGGGACACGCATTTCAGGCTAGAATTGGGTGCCCTGCCGCTTTTAGGGTTCCCAGGAGGCGGCTCCTCCCTCCTGAGGGAGTCTGGAGCCTGGACGCTACTGTCACCCCACCATCAGGGAAAAAAAGGAAACCTTAGGCGGGGAAAAGTTTGTTCCACCCACGCGAATGGAGCTGAGAAAGGGGGCGCAGAGGAAGACCCGCGCTTGCCAAGCCCACACCGTAGGGACTGGGCTCTTGGGAGGGCGGATGAGGGCCGGGGACGACGTGGCGTCCGGCTAGGCAGGCCAAGAGCGTAGAAAGGAAAGAACCTCCAGTGGAGGCGTCTGGGAGTCGCCGGGGGCCCTGCATCCCTTATTGGGTCTCGGCGCTGTCCTCACCTTGGAGGTAGTAGGCCTGGCAGCCGTCGTCGCGCAGCTTCTGTAGCAGCAGACCGAGCACCGAGGCTGGAGCGCCGGGTTCGGGCTGCCACTCGGCCGTGGCCTCGTCGTAGAGCAGCACAGTGGCCGCCTTGCAGCGCGTGGCGAAACGCTCCTTGTCGGCGTGGTTGGGGATGATGGAGCGGATGGGCAGGTTGCCCTTGCGCAGACGGCGCAGCATGAGGCCCGGTATGGCTAGGTTGATGGCCGTTTCGATGTGCGACGACTCGAAAAGCTCGTGCGGTCGGCAGTCTAGCAGCAGCAGCGACGCGCCGCCGCGCGCCTCCAGCTCCTCCTGTAACCACTCCGCACTCTTGCAGGGCATGGCCCCTGCTCCGGTCGCCGCGCTCGCCCCAGTGCCCGCGTTGGACCCACACCCAGCACCGGGCTCGGACCCCGCCCGGGTGCTCCCAGCAGCCGCCGCCGCCGCCGCCCCCGAAGCCGACATGTGCGCCCGCGCTGGGGGGCCGCGGAGCTGGTTTTTCATGGGGAGAGCGGGCGGCCCGGGGCCGGGGCCGGGCAGCCCTGCCCTGGGACGGCGCCCCGGCCGCGCGGGCCCCAGCCGCGTCTCCGGGCGCCCGCCTCCCGCCGAGCTGCGCGCCCGCCGCCCCGGCCTCCCGGCCTCCGTCCCGCCCGCCCGGCCCTCCGCGCGCACCGCGGCCTGACAGCCCCAATTAAACGCCAGCTCCCGCGGCCGCGCGCAAGGCGTCCTCAGGGGGGCGGGGCGCGGGGGCCTGCGCCCGGGCTTAAAGGAGCAGCGCCTCTGCCATCCCTCCTCACCGGGTACGCGGGCGCGTTCGCGGCTCGGTGCGCCCGGAGACCAGAGTCCGGGTCCACCTCCCGCCTCCGTAAGGTCTCGGTCTCGCCTACCCGGACTTGGCTACGACTTGTTTAGGGTGCCTGGTCAAGACACCCTCCCTCCCGGGTCTCCTCTAACCGCATTCCCAGCTCTTCTGTGCCCTATGAGAAGAACTACCTTGCCTGGGGCGGGGAGAGTCCTACGCCTGGCACCCCCACACCATGTTCACTGAACCAGTTTCCCCGGAGATGGGGCGTGGGAGGGCGGTCACACTGAGCCAACCTCCTGTCCTTCCGCCTGTTATTCCCATTCATTCATTCAAGTTCATTCAACAAATGGTAATTGAAAGCCTACTACGTGCCTGGTACTGAGCTAGGTGGTCATCGTTTCAGAAGACAGCATAGTGTCCCTGTCACAGGGTCCTAAACCTGAGGGGGAGGGTCTCACCCCAATAGGCCTGATGGGAAATCTGCACCTAGGCGACCGGAAGGGTTGGACACCTCCATGGGCAGGGATAGAGAAATCCTGGAAAGGATTAGCCCTGGGAAGTGAACACGCGCTCTTTAAGAAAGCTTTACAAGCGGGGCGGTGACAGACGCCTAGTGAAAAGACACGTGACTTTTCCACTGGGGCAGGTAGGAGGGGAGCGCTCCTTTATAATCAGCTTTCTTTCTCCTACCTCCCTCTCAATGTACCAATCAACTTTCCCGGTAGGCGGGCACGAGCCGCGCAGAGAACCAATCGTGACCGAAAGAAGCAATGAGAGAGGGAGGCGGGGCCCGCCGCCGGTTCCACCCAACTCGGGGAAGTGGGCGGAGTCTCCGCGAGCGAGGTGTAGGGACTAGCGGGCCGGTGGGGAGGAGGAGGTGAATGGATTTTCAGGTAGCGCTAGAACAAAGCGGCTGGACTGGAGCGGCGCGCGTGCGCAGGGCCTGGCGTGCGTTCTTTACGGAGCCGGGATGGTCTTCCCCAGGAAGGAGTTCTCAACACGGCCGTTCGGTCCGCCTGGTCTATTTCCTGCTGGGCAGGGTGCCTCCGCCTTCTTGGGAATTAACCCCCACCCCCGTTCTGCCTAAGGCTGGTCAACTCTGAGCCACCTTGCCCCCACCCCTGGGTGTGTGGTGGTGTCGGGTCAGGGTCAGGTGTAGGGGACCAAGGTGACTGAGATTTGCAGAAAAGAGGGCCTCTGGAACCCTGAGGATTTGAGCTTTCCGCTGGCTTCTGACCAGAAGGCACGAAAAAGGGTGGCCCAGGAGCAGTCCTCTTCGCCAGTCTTACAAGCCAGGGATATTCTATATGAAGAGTTTCATCCTGGGTGGCAGAGCTGTATCCCAATATCCCAAAAGAACAGGGGTCTCTTCTCAGTCACAGTCTCAGAAAGGCCACAGTAGTGCAGCTAGAGATCTTATCAGCAGTGATCAGATGCCCCAAGAGGTGAAAGGAGAAACAGACCTTCACCCAGGGTTGTTCTGGAGTTGCTGAGCAGAACCTGCTTCCCTGGGGTCCTAGGCCCTGTGGAAAGAGATTCTCAGGCCAGAGGGGCTAAGACCCAAATCCTGTCTTGCATATGCTGACTTATTGTATGACCTGAGTATGGTTCTTCCCTCTCTACCTCAGTTTTCCTGATATAGGAAATACTAATATGAACAGTGCCTAGCCAGTGTAGGAATCTATCCGGCTGTGAGGACACACTCTGAGGCCAGGGCTCTTGGCTGGCAGTCTGGGTGGTGGTTGTCAAGGATGGAGGCAGCACTCAAAAGAGGCCTGAGCAACCCCCCTGGGGAGGGTGAGCTGCTGACCAGTGAATCATTCAGTGAATGTTGAGGGCTTGCTGAGCACCAGGCAGTGGCTGGAGCTGGTGTGACAACAGTGGACACTCCATTCTCCACTCAGCATCACAAACAGCCTGGCAGCCTCTCCTCCCCTCTGCTCCACCAGGGTGTTACATGCTGATCTGGGTACTCCCCTAGGCCCATGACAGGATGAACAGAGACTTTCTTTCTGGCTTGGTGTCCCCTCCCTAGATGGGACCATGCTTTGCTAACAGGGTAGTTTAAAAAGCTGTCTCATGCCCAGTAAGTCAGGGTGACATCTGAGGGGCAGGCCAGAGTCCCACTGAGACATGCTGGCTTCTGAATGCCTGGTAGTAAGCTAGCCATCATTCTCACTGGTGAAGGCACAATTGAAATAGGAACTTCCTCTGTGCCCCCATAGTCCCCACTGCCATGCTTGAGGAAGAACTGCCCTAGAGAGAGAGAGTAGGAGGCCCTACCATCCCTTACATTAGCTCATGATGGCTCAGTTCTCTCTCTCACCCCATAGATTTCTCCAAGGGAGCATCCACCCTGGAGGAAAGATCTGGGAGGATGTGTGGAAATGGAATTTTCCTGGAGTGGGGAGAGGCAGGGTTTGCATGAATACAGGAGAAGGGGATCATGTGGGGGAAGAAATCATAGTGGAAGTGAATGGGTGTGGCAAGAGAAGTAGCCTGGCCATATAAGGGCTAGCAGGACTCTGGGTCCCACCAAGCAGGTTGAGGAAAGGCCTAAGCAGTGGTTCTCAACCTTCCTAATGCTGCGATGTATTTTCATTGTTACAAAGGAGTCACGACCCACAAGCTGAGAACCACTGGCCTAGAGCCTCAATTCCTGAGTGGATGCCCTGTTTCTATCATGTGTAAAATGGATCACAGCCCAGGATGCAGGCTGAGGAACCCTCTTCCTGGACTTACAAGGCCCAGAGTAAGATAGGAGCTTGACTATGGCCAAACACAAAGAGGCCAAAGCTGCCCCTACAGCTCTGAGCTTCCCTGAAGGATACTGGGAAAGGATCTTGCTGGGCAGGCATCTAGTGCCCTGGGTGAGACCTTGGAATCAAAGACATTCTTCCTCTTTGGGAATGTGACCTTTCCTGCCCTTTTGGGTTCAGGTCCATTCTCACCTGCACCCCCCAGGAGAGGTGCCCAGCTTACTAGTGTCTCCCTAAGGGGCAGGGTGGAGGAGTGGGAAAGAAGCCCTCCAGAACAGGTCTAGGTCCCTCTAGGTGGGCTTGTCTCAGGAGGGAAAGTGCAGGTGGGATGTGTCTGAGCTCTCTGAGGGCCATCCCTCTTTTCCACACTTTCATTTTTAGCTCTCAGCCTAGCCTGCCTTCCAATCCTAGCTCACCTTGTCACCCCCAGGGAGGGAGCTCAATTAGGATGCATATACACACACATAAGGATATACACACAGGCACAAACACACATATATCCACATGTGCTCACGGGCACACAGTACATATGTAGAGATATGCAGATACCTATGCACATGAGCAAAAATACCAATACACATGGGCACACATACTCTGTTACCATGAACACATGCATATGCAGTCCCATGCTGGGCACTTGCCACTTCTGTTGGAGGGGTGCCCAAAGAGAAGTCCCCAGAGGGGATATTACCAGGCTGATGAGATTCACACTCCTCTCCCCTCAGTTCTGCAGTCACAGGGATCCATCTTTCTCTATTGGCTGTGGGATCTTCATGGTGACAGGTTCTAGATGGAACAGGAGTTCACTCCTGCCTTCCTCTTAGCAGGGGGTTGCCAGGCCCTGCATGATGGCAGTATGGCATAGGAAAACTTGGATTGTGCTGGGGTGGGGGAGCCATATGCCTACTCATCTGACCCCTCCCTTGCCCAGATGTGCAGGAAGAGGGAGTGAGAGTGAAGGGGCTGGAGGATAAATAGTCCTGGTGGAAAAGGGAGTCACACACAGGATAATCAGAGCACCAGACCTGGCAGGATGGAAGCAAGGGCCCAGGAGATCTGTTGGGAGTCCCAAAGTTCCATAGAGAAGGCAAAGGGGAGAGAGAGGAGAGAGGCAGGCCAAGAAGGGAGGGGAGCTTTCTTCCACAATTCATGGCAAACACTTTCTGAACAACTGCCCTGTGCCAGGAGTGAGCAGGATAGTGAAGTGGGATTCATATGCAGTGTAATTCCTCTATCCACTCAGCAGTGTCAGAGCAGGAACTTGGCCACCCTCTCCATGGATTTCCCTTAACCACTCTCTTGAGAGTATACCTTTCCTAATTACATACCCAGCCCACTGGGACTAGCTCAAGGATGGAAAATAAAGGACACAGCACACCACTTTTCCATGCTTTGTCCCTGGCAGACATTACTAGTCAATCATAGCACCTTTTCTTGCTGACCATCCATGACCTCAAAACCTTTCCAGGTAGGCATGATCAGCAGATTGCCATAGGCAAGGGAGATAAAACCCATTGGCTAAGGCTCCAATTCACAGTGAGACCAGCCATGGCCTGTCTGTCTACCCCCCAGCTCACCTTACCCTGACCTTCTCCTACTTCCCACAGTGTGCCCCAGTCATAGCACCCCTACCTCCACATGCTTCCTCATTCCATGCCCACTCTCTGAAATCATCTCATCTCAAAGGCCACAGCCTCAGGAAGTCTTCCTTGCCGGACCACAGCAGAGTTTGTTCCTTCTCCTAATCCTCCCCTGTGGGGCCTGGCATAGTCTACCCTCTACCCACTTGGGGACAGTTTAGCCTACAGGGGCCAGGGGGCTCACCTCTGCAACTCTACCTATGTGAGCCTCCCTTGCATCATTGGAATCCCACTCTCCACGAGGTCACTCAGAGTCTTAAGGCCCAGTTAGGCCTCCCTCATGCCACCACCCTGCCTTCC